TTCCAAGATGTTTGACATGTCAATGTTTTTTTTTTTTCCCAGTCCCTTTCCGCCATGGATATATGATCAGCTGATCTCAGTGCTGCTTCTCTCCGTGTGAGAACACAGGAACAACGAACTCTTCACGACATGTCGACCGGGACAACCGTGGAGACCCGTCTCCACCGCCAGGACAACCGATCGCCGGGGAAAGTCCAGGGACTTTTGGAGTTCTCCAAGTGGTTCGAGGCGCTCCGTTTGTCTCCGTTGACCAAGCGCTGTCCAGACGCACACGGCGCAAGTCTGCGCACGCGCATGACGGTGCATTTGTGATCATTTGTGGTGTGTTGTTGGTGCCTCATAGGGTGAGATCGAAGTGCTTGAGGTTTTGATTTGATATGATTTGATGACCTGTTCGCGTTGCAATGGAAGTTTGCACGCTGCGCCTGCTTGGGAAGCTGCATGTTCCCATCGCATGTGCTTCTTTCCCTGCACCCTTTGACCCGCCTTCGCCAGGGCGTTGTCAGCGACCAGACCCCAGGATTCGAGTCACCAAGGCTACCCACCTCCCTGTCAAGCCCTCCTCAGAATCGTTGGGCCTTAAAAGCACCCAAAACATCTCAAACATGCCTGTTTCTGCTGTTGCTGAGTAAGCTTTTTGGGCTGGCTTGCTTTGGATTGCTTTGGTTTGTCCTTCGAAACCCGCCCTAAACCCTGATCCCGTGCTCGAAGTCGCCCGAACGTGCACGTCGCCCACGAGTTGGGCCGGACGCCTCGTGCCGGAGGCCCGTGCACGAGAGCAAGAGATGGACTTCGAGCTCTTCTTTTGGATCGACTACTGCTGTTTGCTTCTCGGAGAAGTGGACCCGTGGGGTCCACAAAAACCGTACCCAGAGCGGCCTTAGAGGCCGCTCAGAAAGGTATTTAAGTTAAGGCCTCCTTGAGGGTCACCACCATGAGGGCTGTTCATGGCTGTTGTTTAGGGTGATCCTTGGGGCTCAAAAGGATTTTCCTCGATGATGTTAAATGGCAGACGTTTTTGTGTGAGCGACATGCCCTCAGAGAAAAGTGTTTTAACCCAGGGATGTATAATTACATGCAATAGTTTCTGCAATGACTTCTCCAATGTTGCCATACGATGCATCCCCTTCCAGTTCTGCGAAACACATCCAAGTGACAGAGCTGCTCAGTCAGAGTATATAGCGCAATTGAAGTAACTGAGACCACTGGCAGGCAGACGACTCCTCGCATGACATGACACACTGATTTCAGGAGGCTCCTTGTCAGGGATGTAGGTGAACCAGCAACACTAGGCTTCTAGTAAGCAACTCGTTTTTTGTTGGTGGGTCGGGCGCAACTGTTTCGATGGATAGTCATGATTCATTGCCGCAGTCTTCGACCACTTAGAAATGACTGGTGGCTGTAGATCAAACTACCCAAAGACACCACCAAAAGACATAAAGCCTTGCAGCTTGGACCTCCAACACCAGGGCTCATGTTTCAAGGACAGTCTCAGGTGGATGACACCCCCCAAGGCTCATCAACACGTGCATCCCAGGCCGACGACTCACAACGGTTCTCCCCCAGGAGGAAAGTCCTGAATACATGGAGTATGAGCACCCTGACGTTGTGGGTAAAAACATGGGACCCCCCCCAACGTCGTCGCTTTTTGGATGATTTTGTGCTTTACGAATTGACGTCGACGCGGTTGGAAAAGCAGGGCCTGGAGTGCGATCCCCACCGGCCGAGGTCGCCCACGGAGGTGAGCGAAACGGTGAAGCACGGGCGGAAGAACAGAACATGCGCCAGAACGGGGTGAAACGAGCACGGCCAGGTGGAAAGGACGTGCATTCCCTAAGTTTAAGTACTATTGAATGCGTTGCATGCTTGATCCAGCGAAGTGTGCGCTTGGTAGACCAGATGAGGGAATATATGTAGAGCAGATGAACATAATTTCCCACAGAAAGAGCAAAGACTGGAGACACTCCACTCAATTACAACAACATGTTGCTCAGTTGAATTTACCAGGTCTCCCGTCCTTGTGTGTATTGTTGCCTGACTCTGGGAATCATCTAAGCCTATACTGATATAAAGCTACTCAGCTAGGAATCGCATGAGCCCTGGCTTGTTGGTGCTTCTTCATGTCTAACAGTCAACAGTCCAGCATCCCCTTCCCAGGGACTGTATAATGATTATCATTGTTCACAGAAACGGGTCCATCAATTGGTCTATGGTGTTGCTGAGAGTTGTTGAGTATGCCACAGGCATCCAAAGGCCTGTTGTATAACAACAGACCTGCACAGCACAAGTCCATACACATCCCAGCGGAGAGCTTCGGGCATTTGCTCTCACTTTGCCCTACTTTTCACTTTGGCATGGACGTTGCGCCTTCAAATGTCCAGTTCTACAGAGTAGACGGCACAATTATATCCAAGTTGGGTGGTTGATAGGGACCCCTTTGAAACCACTGTAGACAAGCGGCCCTCAAACCCATGACAAATAAAGGATTTCACATCCAAAAACCATATCAAGCAACCTGTCTTTTTGGCTGGGGAAAACCAGGCCTTTGATGGTTTGTGGGGCCCCTGCAAGCTTCACCAATCACATCGCTTTCCGCAGATGCTTCAGGTGCTGAAGTGCCGCGGAAATCCAGATTTTGTTGCAGATCATTGGCCTCCAATAAAGCAACCACATGCACCTACCCAGTCAGTAGAAAACCTTTAACCTTTTTTGGGGGTTGGTTTCCCCACTGAACAAGACTATATAGGTGGAAAAAGGTTATTTATCTGAGGGAAAACTGAGGGGGTCAGAACCACATGCAACAGACTGGAGGGTCATTGGCCTGATCCCCAACTTCCCAGTGGCCAGTTGAGACGGGAGGTCCACCCCGTTCGACCCCAAAGAAAGAACAGACACCAGTCTATCCATTGGGCCAGGGGGTCTCCTCAAAAGACACATACACCGCACACCCGTATACTTTAGAGGGGGAGGTGCTGGTACCCACCGTCTTCCTCCAGGCTTTTGCAGCCTTGCCGTGCTTTGGCGGGAGGGTGGGTGGAGGCGTCGCACACACTTATATAGATCCATGCTCGCAAGAGCTGTATCAGTTTGGACATTCCCGTGAGGTAGTTACTGATTATGTTAGACCTTGACTCGCACGCAACGGCAAGAATGCTGGGTCAGAGAACGGAATTGTTGGAACAAGCGTATTAGCACTTTACAAGAATATTAGTGTGACAGCTTGGAAACGCCACAAAATGACAGAAGGATTAAAACTGCAGGTATAAGATACAGCGTCCAGCATCTCATCCAACCGAACACCATAGCTTTGTTAGCACGGCTAGGTGAACGGCGGCCGTGCCCCCCTGCCAGTCAGCACATCCTTTGGGACAGGAGTTGACGCACACACACACACACACATTGGTGTGCATTTTAAGAGGGACACCCAACCAATTGGTTTTGGTATCGGTTTTTTCCCTTCTTCTAGGGGGTCGAACTGGGAGGTCTCCCTAATTGATACGCGATGATACACGCACATAAACTTTTATTCCGTAGGCCTTCGGAGATTTCATGTTTGGCCGAAGCCAGGCATGTGGTGTTGTTGTTGTTGTTGTTGTTGCTTGAAGCGCTTGAGGGGCGTATAGATCGCCAGTCCTGCCCGTTGTGCCAAAGAGGTCCGCAGGCGTTTAGCCAAAACGAGAGATGAACTTTTTAGCTACTAGTAGCGATGCCCTCGTTACTAATAGCAAGACATGTAGAATTGGTGGACTCAGCTGGATAGCTTGTGCCATAAACCCGGTTGTTCACTTCATAAAACTGGGCAGAGATGGAAACTCAAGCGGCTTACATCATCTCCCACAGCTCCACTTAAATGTTGGTGGCAAACGACAGGCATTTCAACGCCTTTAACCTTTGCGTATACCTTTGGCAGGTTTTGCTACCCTGCATGCTTCTGCATTCTTCATTGGTAGCAGCAGCACCGGCCAGCCTCCTAGGATCTCCTAGCGCTTCCACCTCTTATCATAGAGTAAACCCCTACCTAAAACGTGTCGGCCTTTGCTGTGCAGCTGAGGCTTTTTATCGCCACCTGCACTGAGATCCTTGTGTGGCGTACGCCCTTGTTCGACCGGCGAGTGTGGCCTTTGACCGAGCCACAGTTGCACTGGTTCGGCACAGGAGGGTTTGCTGCTTGACCACATTTTGGGGTGCATCAAACAATGGGTGTTTTCTGGATTTGATTGGATTATTTTTGTCAGTGTCGTTAGGCTAAAGTTGTATATTTGTATATCCATAGGTCCTAGTTTGAGGTGTTTCCTGGAAGCTGCCCTGACTATTTTCTCGCAGATCATTTCGCAAGTGCCACATGGAATCTGGACTGCGTGATCTATGCAATTCTATGCATATTCCATATTTCTCATGTCCATGTCTGAACGGCGGAACCTCCTGGCCGTCCATGTTGGACATCGTCTCGATGTCCGATGTCTTGGACTACGTGAGTAACAAGGGACAGAACGGGGGATCAAATCTATACCCAGACACGACTAATGGGACTGCCATATACGCCTACATTGTCCCAAGAAGAGCTACATGGAGTGTTTGAGATAGGATAACCTGGAGTTCAACCGTTTGAGCCTTTGGTGAGGTGAGTGCACACACAAAAAAGGTGAGGTTTTGTCAGTGAAAAAAGCGGGTGCAGTGCATGGCCGTCATGGATGATAAAAGCGGGTGCAGTGCATGGCCGTCATGGATGATTTGGTTGAGGTCCTTGGCAAGGAATAGAGCAAGAATAATGTTATGGAAGCACTTGTCCAAAGCTGACTGGGATGGAATGGGTATGCAGTTGCATCGCCGACCTTGACATAAAGCCTGGCTCAAAATCGAAGGCAGGCTTATTTAACTGGGAATCATTGTGTGTAATGTCACTTGCATTGCTTATGATGTGACTGCACTTCTGCTGGCTGGGTGAGACCAGACCTGTGTTGCTTGAAGCTACATGTGAGAAACTCAAGCAGTTCGGAGCCAACCAGTCGCTGGATGGTCAAAAACAAACCGCCTGGCTGCCAATCACAGGCTGTTCGCCCAGGATTTTTGGCCTTTCCTTGACCCAAAGTGGTCCTCGTCAAGTTGTGTTTCGAGCGATTCGACCCGATTTCGCCATGGACGCCCCAGCCAAATGGCACGAGAATGACTGGGATGCGGTGTTCGCTGGCAAGGCGGTGGCCCAGAGGTATTATCTCCGCAGTGGGCTTGTGACTCGGCTGGATCCCTTTCTAAGAACAAAGAGATACGGTGAGATATTCTAAGAACAAAGGTAGCCAGACAACGCATCCTTTGTGCATCTTAATGCGCTTGCATTCAACAAGCCACTACGTTCGTTTAGCTGCTTTCAGAGTTTCCCGTGAGTGCGGCCACAGCAGGTCATTCGTAGGTGAGGGATAGATAGATCAAGACATATCGTCGACGTGCGCGGACGGGCGCTCACCTGAAACCGGAAGGGGATGGCATCCCCTTCGATCACCCTCTTCCAAATAACAAGCAGGTGGTTTGTTTTCCTCGTACTCCACGAACTTCCAATTATCCTTTTACCCCACCTGCAAGTCGTCATCCACTGCCAGTTCGGGGTACAATGCGTCACGACTGGACTCGAAGTGTTGAGTGTGTGGAAGGGACCAGGTCGCGGGCACGTGTGTTGATAGTTACACAAGGCTACTCTCCCTGGAACTTGAAAGTGGAGTTCATCTGCCTGTTGTAGAGGATTTCTTGCTCTTCCGAACTGGCTGCCATGCACATCGTTGCTCCAATCCGGAGACGGGAGACACCGGTCTCCCCGTCCGGTCTCCGGGTCCGACGCGAGTGAAATGGCACGGTCCTGGCGTCTCCCTGCGGTGAAAGACCATGAAACAAAGTAAGCGCTCAGAAAGTCCAGATTCAAAGGAACTCCAGCACCTGGAGCTTCCTGAAGATGTTGGCAACTCCACCTGCCAAAGCAGCTCATTCAGTAGCTCCCAATCCACCCACGTGGTAAAGAACTCAGTTCTCCGACCTCCAGATTCTGGCACTTTTCTGCCAGTTCTCCCCATGTGGTCCGACCCAATCTGCCAGGTGCGAAAGGATCGGCTGCTGCACTTTGTGCCCTCGAAGCGGCATCCGACCACACGTGTGGTGCGGTCCCTCCTGGAGCTGCAGCGGCACCTGCAGGAGCTCGGTGTTCGACCGACGCGCTTGGACCGAGGCGCGGGTGGCGGAGATGAGATACCATGACAGACCGAAGCTGAGAGACCTCTATGTTTGGACCACAAAAAAGCTCCAAAACAAGATGCACCCAGTGGACCCTTTGGTAGGAAGGGGAGGGGGCATTGTATTGTAGATCTAGTGATTCTGATGTTTGCTTGTCGGTGTACTGTGGTGGGGGCACAAAGACTTCTTTGTCAATTGGCATTCTTGTTGCGTACACAATTCCGGAGCCTTCCCATTTGTTTCATCCATTTTGCCACCACCAAAGCTTGGTCCATCAGCTAGCAGAATGGCCCAAATCGAGCACGGCTGAGGTCACAAAGAAGCGGTCAAGTACGTCTTGAAGAAGGCTCAGTTGCCTGGTCCTTCTGAGAAAGGTCAATGTTGTTCCCTTCCACGCTGACCTCCGGGCTCCAAAAAGCAACCTCCAAGAGGGTGGGACAGTCCGATGACCCGGAAGAGCGCCGGTGGGTGTGAAGATGTTCTGTGGTGCAGGTCTGAGAAAAAACGACCCAAGGTCTTCCAACGCTTCTGGAATTCGTTTCTTCACCGAGGAGGATGCTTGGCAGCTTCCCAAATTCTGTGTCGTGGGCATTTCTGGGATATAGGCATATCATATAGGTTTTGCCAGTCAGTGGCTGACCTAAAAAAACGTCTAACCTTTTAGGCCTTTTTAAGGAGCGCTTTTTCGACCACTTACCGAACATGCTCCGCTTGCTGAAGTTTTTTGGGCACCTTGAGACACTTGATGCGTTCAACCCCTTTCACTCTCTATTGTTTCCATCCTGTTCTGTAGGAGTTCTTCTTACTACCCCAGCGGCCGGCCATCCCCCAGCGGCCGGCCATCCCCCCCAAGGCCTGGCTTCGACCCTTGAGCGGCAAAAGAAACAAAAACAGTGTTCACAACAAAACCCAGAAGGAGTGGTGAATGAACACCCTTTAGGAGTGGTGAATGAACACCCTT